TTTAGTCCTCCTCATTTTAGACCCCGCTCTTCCAGGTTCACGCCAACAACTAGAATGGCGAAAACATCACAGTCACAGTTTGACTGTCACCGTTAAAACTTTAACACATACATAATGAAGGGTTGACGAAGTAGAGTTTCCTGGCTATACAGCAAGATTCTCCCTCAAAAGAAATAAAACACAAAACCAAAAAAAGGACAATATAGTTTCCTTTTTAAAGCTGTACTACACATTCCTATGCCAAGAAATAATTCCCCCATTTGACTAGCAAACTAATAGTTAAACTATATAGATGCTCATGTACTAGCATACGGATTTAGTCTATGTTGCATCTGTCTTTTCTTATAACAGTTCATTATCTCACTTGTTTCCTGTGTTATTTATTTACACTGATCAAAAATTATAGAAAAACTAACATGAAACATTTGTTACACTTATCTGAACTTATTAGGTTATTAATAATGTTAACATTTAGCTTTATCATCTTATAGGACACGTTACCAACTAAGATTTTTGTTTGGGCAGGCTTATTAACAGGATAACATCAATACTCACCTTTACAAAATACTACTTAATTTTCTCACTAGCTTACTAATTTATTAAAGAACTATTTCCTGCACTCACTTTCACATGCAAGACATGGGAGATGCCTTGCATCTGTAAAGAAAGATAGCTTTGATTTGACATATCACTACCACTCTGAGTTGGAGCAATTAGGCAAGAAAAATGAAACATAAGCATATAAACTGGAAAAAGTCATTTCTGCAGGTGGCAAGTTTTTCTACACAGAAAACTCTGTAAGATCACACACACACACACACACACACACACACACACACACACACACACACACACACACACACCCCCTGCCAGCAATAATAAATGAAGTAATAAAGTCATGGGATAGAAAAATCAAAATGAGACACAAAAATCGGCATCATTTCTAAGAATACACTATCTGGAAAAAGTAACTGGAGAGCAATCTTATTTAACCATGAAAACAAACTAATGAATACATTAGTGAAAGGTGGTGAAGAATTTATACAAGGAAATGATAAAATACAAATAATAAAATCTAAAGACATCACAAAAGATATTTTATATGCATATAAGATTAATGTTGATAAAATATATGTACAATAGTCAAGCTCATCTATAAATCAAGTAAAATTCACATCAAAATACCATTGTTTCTTATCAGAAATTGAAAAAAATGGTTTATAAGAAGCTAGACGATACTACCAATCGTGTCATCAAAGCTATGGAAACAAAATTGTACTGATATGAAAACTGAAATAAATGAATGCATTAGTATCAATATCACAAATTTAAGTTTGCACATTTGTAGCCAACAGATGTTTAACAAAACATCAAAAATAGAGAATGAAGAAAGGAAAATTTTTTCCATATGTAGAAGAATTAATCAAGTCCTTATTTCACTTACAAAACTCAATTTAAAATAGATTAAAGGTTTAAAATCTGCAACTAAAACCACTAGAAGAAAATGGAAAGCAACTGTTGACATACTTTTTCTTTTTAAAGATATTTTTATTTATTTATTTTTTTAATTTTTTATTGAGAAAAAAAAAGTTTCCACCTCCTCCCAGCCTCCCATTTCCCTCCCCCTCCTCCCGCCCTTCTCCCCCTCCACCCACTCCTCTCCCCCTCCCTCTCCAGTCCAAAGAGCAGTCAGGATTCCCTGCCCTGTGGAAAGTCCAAGGTCCTCCCTCCCCCTTCCGTCCATGTCTAGGAAGGTGAACATCCAAACTGGCTAGGCTCCCACAAAGTCAGAACATGATATTTTTAAAAATGAGCAGAAACATGGGCAACAATAGAAGTGGCAGACAGAGTAGAAAATATCTTCTGAATAGCAATAAACAAACAAACAAGCAAATAATCAAAGTAAGAGAGAATAAACAACCAACAGAAAGAGAAAAATTCAAAATAGACGCAACTAAAAGAACTCTATAACAATAACATAATAAAAACAAATAACTTCTAACATGGTCATAGAATCTGAAAAGATATATTTAGAAATTAAAACGATGAAAAGTTGTTCATGACAAAATTCATATCATAATCAACTAGAAACAACAACTAAAACCACAATGAGCTATCACCTAGCTAGATGGAACGGTATAATCAAAATGATGAAGCATGACATCACAGAGAAAGAAACTCCACACTGTTGCTGGCAATGTGAAGTAGTCTAGGCATTGTAGAAAATAGTAGCGAGGTACTTCTAAATAAAAAAAGATAAAGTAGGACCACCAAAGTCACCAGCAATTATGTCTAGGTTTTATATGTACAAAGCAATGGAAATCAGTAATTCAAAAAGATATACAATGCTCTTCACAATGTTCAAGATGTGAAGTAAACAGAGGACTGTGCATATGTACCTCACAGAAAAGATGAGGTACATAGACACGATGGAATATCATTCAACCACAAAACACCAATAAAATCCATTACTTGTGACAAAGTAGACAAAGTCAGGGCACTGTCAAAAATGAGCTTATGAAAGCAGATATGAATGGATGAATACCACATGTTCTCAATCCTACATGCAATTTAGAAAAAGACAATTCACTGGGTACTGAATGGAATTATTACCAGAGACAAGGAAGATGTTAGTCAAAGGGGACACAATTATAGAATTGTGTAGATATACTTTACAATATGATAACTACAATTAATAGTGAGATACTGCTGTCATAAAATTTATGAAAATGTGTTTTAAATATCCAATCAGTTCTAATGTTTATCACACAAATATGACCCACCTATCAAGTGAGTGGTATCTGAGAAGTATGATGCAATCATTCTACACTGGATATAAATCTTAAAACAGCACACTCTACATAATAAGAAATCAAACAAATCAGTCAGATCACCCTCTGGAATACACATTCTAATAAACCATAATCAGAAGGAAGGAAGGAAGCAGACACTATGTTCAAGAGGATGGCAGTAAGGGAAGGGCTGCTGCAATTATATTTGTAACTTCCTTTTAGTACAGCACAGTCAAAGAAAATGGTTGAAACAAAGAACAGTATGGCAAAAGAAATACATTTTTTTAAAAAAAGATTTATGTATCCATTGTTTTATGAGTGTATCTTTCTGAGTAAGATATATGGTCCAACACATGTATGTAAGCACTTGCAGAGCAGAAAAAAACTATCAGAGACATCTGCTTCTATCTCCCAAGTGCTAGGTTTAAAGGTGTGCACCCACAGGCCTAACTACATTCTAGCGTTCATGTTGTTCTTTGATCCTAGCTACATGTGAAAATAGTGACATTCTCCACTTGGAAACACACGGTTTATGAAAATGTTTTAGAACTTCACCAAAAAGCCAGTCCTCTTCATCTCCAAAAAGTAAAACCACACTGGTTTCCTATTCTGCAGAAAAACTAAGTGTTTACTTGCAGGTTCTGTTGTCACCAACAGGAATTTTCACTTGAATAACCAGGGCATTATTGCAAACAACAGTAGTTAAGATCATTTTTGATCTTGTTAGTAATAAAGACTGGTAGTTTACAACATTAACCTAAAAGTAATTATTTTTATTATCATTACAAAGTATTCCAGATAAGCTAAATTGTTGCAGATGTGAAAATTTCTCAATGAGCATGGACATTCCAAAGCACACTCCGTAAATCTTGGCAATTACTCTACATGATTTTCAGTCACTCGGGAATATATTTCTCCACAAGACAAACCACATACAATGTTTATGTTATTAATTTTCACAAAGAAATTTTCATTTCTCATAGTGTTAAAAAGCCATTACCCCCAACCCTCAAAAATATAAGAACTCATCCAGGTGTGATAAAAATACTTTGTTAGCACTGCTTGTTCTAAAGTTATCCTAGGACATTATTAGTTAGGTATGGGATATTTCCAACTATGGTTTCATCTGGGGCTCAGTGTCCTCAAAACTCAGTCCAACTGTCAGCAGAAATCACTGTCTCCTCAGGTCAGGGTTCAATTTCCCATTTTTCTTGCTGGAGTTTAGCTGAGCAGTGCTCTTCGCTCCGAAGTTGCTGTCAGGGGCTTGCTCACAATTCACAGTGTGTCTCTGAATTCCTCTTTTGCAACCTGGATTACCACTCTTACATATTAATGTGACTAACAGTGGAACTAATTACAGGAGGAAAACCCAGCATGTTCAACACACCATGAGTTGTACAAGGTGGGCACACAAGGAAAATCTTGGGACCACTAGAGGGAGAGCTCTGCCTGACAAAACTCTTGTTCTGCAGCAACAAATGTTTTGTTAATAAGACCCAGAAATATCATCACTTTGGCTGCTGTATTTTTCATCTCTAACATTTTTTCATTATTTTTCTTTATGTGGGCTCATTCTCTCCTCATTGTGTTCACATTTCCATTACTTGAAGCAAGCCTTAAATACACTTATAATTACTGTGTTTTAATGTCTTCATTTGTACCATTTATTGTTGCTTACAAATCTATTTCTGTTCAATGATTTTTTTCTGCTTATGCTTGCATTTTCCAGTATCTTAACATGCTTATTAATGGATTATTGGATGTTTAACATTTAATTTCATGCACTTTTTTATGCAAGACATTTTTGCATTCCTTTAAAGAGTATTAAGACTATGTTCTGACTAGATGTCAAATAATTCATAGGCCAGTTTGTCCAGAGTTACTTTCAATCTTTTGTTTTTACTAGTTAATCTGCAGGTTGCTACAATTTAGCCTAACTTAAATACACTACTGTGGTATGGCTGTTAACACCTAGTGTACATTAGCATAGTGAATATTAATATAATACATTAAGTACTCTTCATTTGAAGATGTTAACCAAAAATATAATGGAATGCAAGAACAAAAGCTATACCTGGTTCTCAGTAGCAACATTATAGAAATAAAACACACCTTCCTTATATATTTATATTATACCATGAATATTTATTTTAAAACAACTCATGAAACAAAAATACCAAATGAGCAGTGAGACAATGTCAGTATTACCTTTGTAAAATGAGTGGGGAAAACTCTGCTCAGGCATTAGCTTGGCAAGGAGTCCATGATTCAAACTTGGATGAGGGATAGATGGTATGACCACAACTCTGGAGAAAATCATGGAGCCATATTTGAGGAGGAAAATGACAGTAATATAGTCCACACCAAAGACTCATGACATTTCTATATTACTGTAATAGGCACACAATACTAAAGAACACATCTCTGAGAGTGGGAAAAGGAACTTTAAGAGAAAGGAAGTAGGTGATATACTCACCGAGTAGAGTACGATTAGCAACATACATAAAACATACACACAGACCAGAAAACTAGACTTAGAAGATTCACTATAATAGTGCTAATTTTATACATATAGGACACATACAGTAAAGTCTTCATGCTTTAATAGGACATCAGTTTGAATGGTAAATTGATGTTTAATTTGCATAATAAAATTAAAGTAATAGTGTAATAATGAAATGGTATGACCTGCAACAAGAAAATCCTGGCTAAAATGTGATCCTTTATCTCTACAATAGCAAGAAAGAGCAAATGAGGTTATTTCCCTTAACGAGATATAGTGGTTTGACCATAAGTATCTACTCACTTTTATTACATCCATTTAAAAAGCAAATGTGTTGACTTAGTAAAGAATCCCATGTATAAATTAATCCAGTAGCATACCTACAGTATGCTACATTTTAGACTAATTTAACTACACTATTGTGGTATGACTGTTAATATTTGGTGTATGCCAGAACAATGAATATTAACATAGTATATTAATCGCCTGCAATTTGAAGATGTTAATCCAAGAAATATAACGGAATGGAAGAGCAAAAGCTATATATGGTTCACAAGAAATAGCCATTGAGCCGGGCGATGGCGGCGCATGCCTTCAATCCCAGCACTCGGGAGGCAGAGGCAGGCGGATCTCTGTGAGTTCGAGACCAGCCTGGTCTACAAAGCTAGTTCCAGGACAGGCTCCAAAGCCACAGAGAAACCCTGTCTCGAAAAACAAAAACAAAACAAAACAAAAAAATTGGCCATTGAGTTATCAAGATTATAGTACAAACAACAGGAAAATATCTTGATGTAAACACTTAGTAGGAAATACAAATGATTAGTTGCCACAAAACATATTTATAGTTCTCAAGTACAGTAGGCCAAATCAATTACTGGATCATGGCCTAAGAATGGATTTATGTGAGGAGAATTCTGAGTGTTTGTGAGAACACTCTGAGAAAACAAGAGTCTTTTCCCCTCAGTTTCTTCAAAACACTGACTTGTTCTTGGAATGTGTTTTCGAGCTCCTCCCAAGTATAGCAGAGAGGAGTGCGTTTACTTCTGATTACTCATCATTGCTTGCTGCTGTTATTCAATCAAATGTTTAAACTATCTTTTATATGCCCCGATGGGAAAACATGATTTTGCCATGTGCAGCTTATCCTTGTGATTGTGCACAGCTTGAACTCATGAGAACTTTACTCATGTGATCTTCTCTTAATCCTTAGAGTATAAATTGGCTATCGCATGAGACTTTATTCTGCCTCATTCATCATGGCTCCATTTTCCCAGACACCACTGCCTTTAGAGCAGTGGCAGCCAATAGTGCAACAGCTCCTGCAAGGTAAGTGTCCTGCAAATGAGACCAGTATAACCCAAGGTGGCTCACTGTTGTCTCTGATGTTACTTCTCCATAACTCTTTTAGTTACAACTACTTTGTATAAACTTTTTCCAACTTGTACAAAATTCAAAATCTTTGTTTGCTATTACATAATTGATGTAATATTTAGATGTTGGATTAAGTGTTCACTTAGTAGCAAAAAGAGGAGGGGAGAGAGCAAAGAAGGGAGGGAAGGAATTTTTTAATTAGGCTGTAAAGAATCTATATGAGGACCTCCTATTTTCATGCTTATAAAAGTTTCACAATAAATGTGTTGAAAAGCATGAGTCCACTGCATGGTAAATAATATCATAACCAAATGATTTGTATTCACAAATGGGAAATGGTAACCACAAAGTTGCACTGACACATGAGAATGATAGCAAATATATACAGACATATCCAGTATATTTGTGTCAATCTACAAATACTGAATCAGCATCTCCACCAATTCTGTAAGTGTCTGAAGTGTCTATGAGTAAGTACAATTCAAACATGCATGCAGAAGTGCTAGTGAGAGAGCAGGAAAGAGATAAATACTAGTGAAATAACAAGTAATGGAAACTAAATACTAAGTACCTGTACTTGTTGGCGAATTTATTTCTTGTCTGATGTTTCTACCTGGTTGGCTTCCAGTTCTCGCAGTCTCTCTCTGGGGCTCTAATATGTCCCGATACTTAGACACCATCAGAACAGAGATGAAGTAAACAACAGCCAGAGCTAAGAACTGTGCCTGCTTGCTATCATCCTGTGTAAAATGAAAAGGTAGTTTGACACTCAAAAATTTTAAGATATAAATCCACACACTATAAGAAACTATTTTTGTTATTAGACTTTAAGCTTTGATTTAACAGGTGCTGGGAAGACAGGTAGAGGAACAGCCCAGTAGTTAAAACATTTGCTCCTTTTACAGAGGACCAGAGCCAGTGCCAACTAAACACTTCTGGTGGGTCAAAATGATCTAAAATTCCATCTTCTGATCATCTGACATGCTCTCTGGCTTCTTTGGGCCAACACGGACACATTTATATCACCAATAAAAATAAAATGACCCTTCGGAGCCAGGAAAGATGGTTTAGTGGGCAAAGACACCTGCATTTGGTCCTAGGCATCCAGATGGTAACAGAAGACATGGTCCTCTGACCTTTGCCCATGCACTATGGCAAGGGAGCATGTGTGAAGATGTTGTGTGAAACACACACACAAATATAAATATAAATTGAAAGAAAATTAAGAGTTGATAACTGAATTGCTTACTAAGTACCATGTTAAAGATACACACAAGGGGCTGGAGAAACAGCTAAGTAGTTAGGAGCACTAGCTGCTCTTCCAGAGGTCCTGAGTTCAATTCTCAGCAACCACATGGTGGCTCACAAGCATCTGTAATGAGATCAGGCGCCCTCTTCTGGCCTGCAGGCACACATGCATACAGAACACTATTGTAATAAATAGCTCTCTCAAAAATATACACACAAAACGTCTAAAATGCTTCATCTGAGTTATATGTTAAAAGAATTTTAAAAGGTAACATAATAAGATTTTGTTCAATGCGCTACAAAACATCACCCTTTCTCTTACCATTTTAATCTATGAATTTCTTATAAAACATGCAGATAAAAAAATTACTGTCCTGAATTTTTCAAAAAAAAAACCAGTTATTACAAATAAAGCACAATTCAACTAACAAAAGACTCCAGCCAAGCATAAAGTCACACACAGCCCAAGCTGTAATAGACCCTATTTCCCACAATGCTTCTGTTCTACCACAGGAAATTCTGCTCCACGCAACTGGAGAACATTTAATAAATAAATGCAGAATAAATGAAAACAAGATATGGTAGAAGCACTACTATGAACTACAGTGGTAGCCAAGTTAAAACATTTTCTTCCTAACTGGCATGTAAAGAGCTGTCTTTGCATCTAAATGTAGGACTGCAAGCAAGCACCTCTACAAGCTGCTGAGTCATCTAACTGACCAGATTGTTTTTAAGCAATGTTTTCATTTTACATAGCAAATTCTTCTCCTTCTATACAGGTAATATATACTTTCTTTCTCTGCCCCACACACCATCAGAACTCCTTAGGAACACAATAATCACAATCTCTAAATTTAAATCTGAATATACACATATTTAGTCTATAATACTAAAAACGACTTTATGAAAAGCAAAACAGCTGGGTAATTCTGGGGAAAGCACAAAAGCTCCTGCCTTGAAATTGCTGCCAAATACTCAATTATTTGTCCTCTGAAAACACACACATAGTCTTTCTCTCTCTCTCTCTCTCTCTCTCTCTCTCTCTCTCTCTCTCTCTCTCTCTCTCTCTCTCTCTCACACACACACACACACACACACACACACACAGAAAGGTAATGCGCATATATAGATTTCCTAAAACCTAATCTGAGGTCTTATATATTTCAGAAACTAAAGAAACAAAATGTGACTGTTGTTTTATAAAAACTTTGAAAGTAAAGTAAAATTCTTAGCATTTACAAATACAATCAACTAACATACTAACAACTGCAAAAACACTTCCAAGACCCCAGATTATTATATGTGAGAGATGCATTTACAATCAAGAAGTACAGTGATTGAAAAGGACACTCTGACTCTACACATGTGTGTTGTCAATCACATGCAGACCTGCCTGATCCTTATTGCTAAAGCATACTGTTGCATAACTTCAAGTATAGTTGCTAGTGTATTGGAAAGAGTTTTTTCTTTTCCCTAATGTATTAGTGCAGAACTACACAAAAGGTTGTCCAATTTATCCTTATATAGTAATGATTACATAAAAGAGCCTGATTCCTCCACTCTTCCAGTGCTAAGCATTATCATTTAAGTTGTTAGTTCATTTAATACTGAAAATATTTCATCTTAATTTTCATTCTGTTGTCTACTGATGATTCTTTAATCACACTGTTGAATTACATTATATATTTTGCATTTATTGCTTACATGTGTTATGTTTTCCTATTTATCTTTTAGGCTGTTCATTTTCCAAATGACTGATAAGAATCAACATTTTTCTATCATATATCCACAGCATGAAACATCATGCCACATGGCTTAGTCTCAATGACATTGTAAACAACAAAGCACTCTATTTAACTGATTATTATATATACATTTCAAACATAGACGTCTTTAAATATTCCTTGAATCATTAACCATAATTAAAACAACAGGATCTAATCTGGCTGGCTAATAATGCCTGTATTTAAGACTGGTATTATTGCTTAATCTGCTGTGAAACACTGTATTTCTACATGAAATTCATGAAAAGGTCAATCTTACTTTTAGTTGCCTTGAGTAAGCAGTCACGGAGTAGAGAGTTCATTAACCCTTCCTTACGTTATTTTTCTTTGAATGTTATTAAGCCTTCTCTAATTCAGATTCCTGCAGATGCCATCATTTGTGAAAGTAGGGGCCAGTGAGAGGGTTCAATGGTAAAAGCTTTTACTGCTTAGCCTGGAAATCTGGGTATAATCCTTGAAACTCCTCAAAAAGGGAGAAGAATGGGCTCCACAAAGTTGTCCTAAAACCTCCACATATACTCTGTGATATTGATAAATCCCTTCAAATGCATCATGAGCACATATATTTACAATAATAAATAATTTTTAAATAAAAGAAAATATCTTCCCATTCCCAAAGGCAACTTACATTAATGCCTGATACAGTAACTTTTTATGTCTACTTAAAGGAACATTGAGAATAATGAAATATTCATTATATGGAAATGGAGTAAAGAATATAAAGGCAGGACCAGATGACCTAAGAGAAAGTCAAACATAAGGCTATCTCTAATCTTGGAATATAAAATAAATCTCAAAATTTCTTTTTTTTTTTAATAATTTTTTTTATTAAGAAAAGAAGAAAAAAAACATAAACAAAAAACAAGTTTCCACCTCCTCCCAGCCTCCCATTTCCCTCCCCCTCCTCCCACCCTTCTCCCACTCCTCCCACTCTTCTCCCCCTCCCCCCACTCATCTCCCCCTCCCTCTCCAGTCCACAGAGCAGTCCGGGTACCCTGCCCTGTGGTAAGTCCTAGGTCCTCCCCCCTCTGTCCATATCTAGGAAGGTGAACATCCAAACAGGCTAGGCTTCCACAAAGCCAGCACATTAAGTAGGATCAAAACCCCGTGCCATTGTCCTTGGCGTCTCATCAGCCCTCATTGTTCGCCATGTTCAGAGAGTCCGGTTTTATCCCATGCTTTTTCGGTCACAGTCCAGCTGGCCTTGGTGAGCTCCCAGTAGATCAGCTCCACTGTCTCAGTGGGTGGGTGCACGCCTCGTGGTCCCGACTTCTTTGCTCATGTTCTCCCTCCTTCTGCTCCTCATTGGGACCTTGGGAGCTCAGTCCAGTGCTCCAGTGTGGGTCTCTGTCTCTGTCTCCATCCATCACCAGATGAAGGTTCTATGATGATATGCAAGATATTCGTCAGTATTGCTCTCGGATAGGGTCATTTCAGGTTCCCAATCCTCAGCTACCCAAGGAACTAACTGGGAACCTCATGTTGGGCACTTGGGAGCCCCTCTAGGGTCAAATCTCTTGCTCACCCTAAAGTGGTTCCCTTAACTAAGAATTGTGGTTCCGTGCTCCCCTATCCACCTTTCCTTTATCCCAATTCTCCTGATTCCCCAAATCCCCCCTCCTTCCCTTCTACCTTTTCTCTCCCCATCTCCCCTTACCCCCATCCCACCCCACCCCCAAGATCCTAATTTTATCCCCGGCAATTGGGTCTACTTCCCTTAGCCAAGAGGATAACTATATGTTTTTCCTTGGGTTCACCTTCTTACTTAGCTTCTTTAGGTTCACCTATTGTAGACTCCGTGGCCCTAATTTATGGCTAGAAACCAATTATGAGCGAGTACATCCCATGTTCATCTTTTTGGGTCTGGGACACCTCACTCAGGATAGTGTTTTCTATTTCCATCCATTTGCCTGCAAAATTCGAGAAGTCATTGTTTTTTACCGCAGCGTAGTACTCTAGCGTGTATATATTCCATACTTTCTTCATCCATTCTTCCATTGAAGGGCATCTAGGTTGTTTCCAGGTTCTGGCTATTACAAATAATACTGCTATGAACATAGTTGAACAAATGCTTTTGTCATATGATAGAGCATCTCTTGGGTATATTCCCAGGAGTGGTATTGCTGGGTCCAGGGGTAAGTTGATCCCGAATTTCCTGAGAAACCGAAACACTGACTTCCACAGTGGTTGCACAAGATGGCATTCCCACCAGCAATGGATGAGGGTACCCGTTCCTCCACAGCCTCTCCAGCAAAGGTTATCCTTGGTGTTTTTGACTTTAGCCATTCTGACAGGTGTAAGATGATATCTCAAAGTTGTTTTGATTTGCATTTCCCTGATTGCTAAGGAAGTTGAGCACGACTTTAAGTGTCTTTTGGCCATTTTAACTTCCTCTGCTGAGAATTCTCTGTTCAGTTCAGTGCCCCATTTTTTAATTGGGTTAATTAGCATTTTAAAGTCTAGTTTCTTGAGTTCTTTATATATTTTGGAGATCAGACCTTTGTCTGTTGTGGGGTTGGTCAAGATCTTCTCCCAATCAGTAGGTTGCCTTTGTGTCTTATTGACTATGTCCTTTGCTTTACAGAAGCTTCTCAGTT